AGCAGGTACACAATTACTATGATTATGTTTAACATAATCCTTTACTACTTGCAACGTAATTACATCTGCAAAGATCCTTTTACCAAAGTAACATTTACAAGTTCCAGGGATTAGAACCTGTTACCTTCGGGGGACATTTTCAGCCTACTACAGATGGGGGACTTTGGAAAGCCTACTTTTGGGGCAGGGGGCAGAGGGAGAGAGAATCCCAAGCAGGTTCTACACCCAGTGTGGAGACTGACATAGGGCTCGACCTCACAACTGTGAGATCATGACTTGAACTGACGTCAAAAGTTGGATGCTTAATTGACTGAGCCATCCAGGTGCCCCTGGAAAGCCCACTTCTAAGGGGTGACTACTGAAGTTGTTTGTCATCTGAATAGCTGACTGGCAACTAGAGCTAAGCTATATTCAAAACGGTATCCTGATTCTCTGTAAGCCCAGACGGAGGTGCCTTCCTTTGCTTACTTTACCATTACGTTTCCTCAAACTTTCATTAACTAAAGTAACCTGGGTAGGTCTCTTGCTTGCCAATTGAAAGGGTCAAACTGTAACATAATAGCTGACCTAAGAAGGGTTTGTTTTATACATAATTTTCATACAAATATCAATAGTTGTAGACCTTTGGACTATCAGTTTAGCGTACACTCCCCTTCTCTAAGAACTACCTCCCCAACTATGGGAGTGGGCCCTTTTGGATATGTGGATACTAAATTACTATGTCATTTAGTAATGACAGTAGCCCCCTAGCCAGAGCTGACTGGATCAAAGGCAGGTGCTTAACTAAGCTGTATCACTCATATTCTCTTCAGGAACTTAGGACACTGCTCACTTGGTTTCTGGAATTGAAATGAATTGTTGATATAGCCCTGAAAGGCTATACTTTTTGCAAGTAAAAACCATCATGTAGAGAGAAGCAGAGACAAGTGACCGTGAGAACTCAAGAAAATGCAGCTGCCTTGATTCCTTTTTTAAATTTAAACTTTAAAAAAAATTGGGGCACCAGGGTGGCTCAGTTGGTTGGGCATCCGAATTCAGCTAGGTCATGATCTGACAGTCCATGAGTTTGGGACCCGCGTCGGGCTCTGTGCTGACAGCTCAGAGCCTGGAGCCTGCTTCAGATTCTGTGTCTCCCTCTCTCTGCTCCTCTCCCACTTGTGCTCTGTCTCTCTCTCTCTCTCAAAAATAAAACATTAAAAAAAAATAAACTTAAAAAAATCTTTCTTTAATGTTAACTTATTTTTTTGAGAGACAAAGCATGAGCAGGGGAGGGGCAGAGAGAGAGAGAGAGAGGGAGACACAGAACCCAAAGCAGGCACCAGGCTCTGAGCTGTCAGCACAGAGCCTGATGCGGGGCTTGAACTCCCTGACTGCAAGATCAGGACCTGAGCTGAAGTCAGGCAGATGTCAGTCAGTCAGTCAGTTGGTACAAATGCTTAACCTACTGAGCCACCCAAGCACCCCTGAACTTTTTTTTAAAGCTTATTTGAGAGAGTGCGTGCACATGTATGCATGTGATCCGGGGGTAGAGTGAGAGAGAGACAGAGGGAGAGAATCCCAAGCAGGCTCCGTCCTGTTAGCACAGAGCCTGAGGTGGGGCTCTATCTCACAAACCTCCAGATCATGACCTGAGCCGAAATCAAGAGTCGGACACTCAACAATCGACTGAGCTACCCAAGCGCTTCTCTTTTTAAAAATTTTTTTTTA